TAGCCACGTGGGTGCTGAGAACCAAACCGGGGTCCTCCGCAAAAGCAGCCAGTGCCCAGCCATTTCTCTAGTTCCACATATTTAGATCTTAATTGCCTTTTACCTTGTTACTATAATTTATTTTTGCATATTCCCATGTTAGAAATCCCTAGGTATAGAACTGTTATATCATCTTTCCTGGAGTACAATGCTTTTAATTTTAAACAAGGAGAATCTTTCTTTAAAGAATACATATGTACATATGTATACTAGTACATTCTAAGTCCAATCAAATTTCAAAGGACAAAATAACAAATGTTGTTCGGATCTCAAAAATCCCTATTTATTTTGTGGGTTATTAAATAGCTGGAAGTAACAGACCATAACACTGTGTTTGCCCTCTTTTCCAATTACTATCTTCTGAAACTAGACACTTCGTTATTATCTAGGGACCATGAAAATCTGGTCCACTCAGACTGTACAGCCTGAAAGTGAAGAATGGTTTTCACATTTTAGATTGGGGGTAGGATGGCAAGAGTATTTTATGACATGTGAACATTATGAAGGTCAAATTTTGCTTGCATAGTTTTACTGGACCATGGTCATGCTCATTCATTTAGTATTGTCTAACGAAACTTTTGCACCCTAACCACAGTTGAGCATGGGCTGCAAAGCGAAATGATGTCCTTTCTGGCTCCTTATAGAAAACTAGCCAAGCCATGTTCCATGCATGCACACCATAATCTTATAGTTTAACCTAAACATTCTTCCCTTTTACTTTTAAATTTTTATTTTATTTATTTATTTTTTTTTTTTGAGACAGGGTCTCCCCTAGTAGCCCTAGCTGGCCTGGAACTCTCTATGTAGACTAGGCTGGCTTTGATCTCACAGAAGTCCACCTGCATTTGTCTGCTAAGTACTGGGATTAATGGGCAGGCATGACCACACCTGGGCTCCCTTTCTTATTTTTCAATATAAACTGTCTTTAATAATATGTAGTTCCCCAGGCCAGCACGGTCTTAAATTCCTAAAAAGCACTTCCTCCAACTAATTTCCTTCACCACATTCCTAATCCTCTACAATCAGAAAGCAAGAAAAGAGCCCTTTATATTGTAAATGCTACAAATTTACAAATCAAAACCCAGAACCAAATCTCACCAGCATCTCTCCGTCCCTCCAAAGGCACAGCTGAAGAAGCTGACTGCCTAGGAAAAAGCTTTCAAAGAACCCTATACAAGAAATAAACTGTAATTCACAATTGCTGCTGTTTAAAACCCCTAATGGCCAAACAAAATAACAATGAAGTGGAGAAAAGTTAATAAATGTGAATTTTCTCAAATGTACTCTTAAAACTACTGGCTACCAAAAAAAAAAAAAGGGACCCAAAAGGCAAAAAAACAGTAAAAAAGTAATTTTTCCCCCTCAAGTAGACTTGTAATTACCACTTGTGGTCCTAAATCTCTAACCTCAGATACCACGTTTTCTGCAAGTAAAATGGTTTTAGGCCCCTCATAAATATGCACGGTGGCTGTGGCCTCTACCCATAATCCCAGCACTCTGAAGTGAGACAGGAGAATTTAAAGCCATTGGGGCTGGAGAGATGGCTCACAGTTAAGAGCACTGGCTGCTCTTGCAGAAGACCAGGGTTCAATTCCCAGCACCCACGTGGTGGCTAACTACCATCCATAACCCCAGGATCAGGGAATCCGACGCCCTCTTCTGCCCTCCGCAGGCGTTGCATGACACGGTGCACTTACACGCAAGCATAATACTTATGTACATAAAATGAAAACAAATTAGGAAAAAATGTTTTAAAACAGTTTAAAGCCAGCCTCAACTACAGTGAGATCGAGGCCAGCCTGGATTACACGAAACGCTGTGTCAGAAAACCAACACGTAACAAAACTGCATGGTGTCTGCACACTATCCCCAGACCTACAGGAACCACTTCCTCTGCAAGGAGGTCACAGAATGAAATCCGCTCAAGTATGCAGCGTGCCGCTCGTAGGCTGTGGGGAGGGGCGGCCACCTTTGTGGGGTGGGGTAACCTGCATCACGGCACACCTGTTGCCATCCGACTCCCTGAAAAACCAACCACAGACGTAGGCAGCTTGAGCAGCTTGCCAGGGCAGGCGCAGGTCGCGCTCCATCGCCGTCTTTCTGAGCACCCGTGTGCTCGGTCCTCCGCAGAACGGGTTAGGTCCGCCGGGAGGTGACTTACCTAACCCCGGGACAGTCAAAACGAGACCCCTCCACCAATCGGAAGTGACGTACCGCTGAGCCGCTCGGGTCAGCCACGTAATCGGCCGCCGCCTTCACAGCCACCCGCCCCCGAATAGCCCGGAGGACAGGGCCCGTGAGGTCGAAAGCCCACACCCCGCCCTCGCCCGCATCGCGGCCGGCTCGCTCCGCCGCCGGGGACAAGCTGGCGCCCCGGCCGGCTCCCTGACCCCGCGGCGCGGCGCCCGGCTAGCCA